AGGATAAATTTGAAATAATGCTGGTAAATATTTGTCGGGCAAATGACTGTCGGGCAAGTAACTGTCGGGCAAGTGAATGGCTCCCGTGACTATTTACGATAGTTTCCACCATTTTCAATAACTTTATTCAGGCATCCAACCCCCCTACAAGATTATGATGCAGATATCAACTCATTATTCTTTAATCAAACTATGTCAACGTGACAATATTTCCTAACCATTCGGTAACTCGTCTCTCAACTCTTTTCTTGTTAGGTTTTCCATTGAATTTGGGGTGGGAGCTATAAAAAAAATAGTCAAGCATCTTCGGATGTGGTGACGAAGAAACTCAGTTGCTTCCATAATTATATGCTTTGATCTGTCGAAAGATTCCAACGCTTTAAATGCATCGCCAAAAAATAGTACCGTAACTGTCCAGTTTTCTATGTAAAGCGTTTGGTTATCATGATTTATGACGAAGGAACAGTAATCATGACCTGGAGACTATGTGATATCTAACAAGGTAATAACAAACGCTGCTGCATTGCGAATTAGAGACGGCATTACGAGAAGAATGAGCAAGATTTCGCCAGGTGGTAATGTATGCATCAAGCTTTATTACCTCTCATGCGTTGCTTTACGTAAAATATAGTTTTGAATCTAGTCCAAAACTGAATCAATCAATAGTGCGAGACCTTACCTCATACGTACTCTGGCTATTTAAAACGAATTAATCAAATAAGCGATAGCTACATTTCACTTTTGAGACAAATGTCATTATCAAAATCATTGTCGTATTTTGAGAAAAGCCGTGCAATGTTATTATTAGATTTTGTCCAAGTGATGAGAATTTGTAAGCACTATCTTTATTTCAATCACCGCGTAAAGTTTGGTCTGTCATGCACTAAAAGTTGTGAATCATTTTAGTCGCGGTCGATCTTATTGGTCATGTTGCATTATCGTGGGAATCCGATTGCGAATGATAATGTGATGATAAATGATAGCTAGCATGGAAGAATAATAAATCGAACGTTTGATCAGTATGCAATCTTGGAATTCTGCTTCTATTTTGCTTTGCTTCACAAAGTTGAAACGAAAATGCATAGATATTTAAAGTTATGCTGACGATCGCTAACCATTAATAATTAGACGTTGTTGATGTCAGGCAAATCACGGATGCGTAAAGTTTGAATAACATTATTTAAAGTATAATATAGTTATGCATGAGGCTAACCACGTCAGGAAGTTTGGGATATGTAAAGCAGTAAAAGTATAAACAACGGTACGTCTTCGATATTCTAGAAACCGTCCATCTCGTTTTTGCTCATTCCTTTGCCGTCATCACGATAAAATCAACGATAGTAATCGACGTTTATTGTACCCTTTTAATAGGATGTTTGTCCCATTTCACTTATACTTGCAATCTCCCCCCTCACTGTGCGAAGCATAATGCTGACGTTCTAAAGTTTACCCGCCAAGACGTATGATGCATGGGAGTAAACAGACATTGATACTCTAACTCTATTACTGTGACGACTAAACAAATCATCAGATTTACGTCAGTTTAATTATTTTTATGCCCAGGAAAAACAATGTATCCGTTCACAATCCTATTATCGATTAACTATATTAGGCTGATCATGCATAATAAATGTGAGAAAAAACTCGAGATATATGCCTTGTATCAGAGATTTTTGCCATGTGCCTATCACATTAGTTAGCAATGACCATGAAAAACGTCGCATTCATATTTGTAGAACACGCCACACACGTCCCCATATTTGATCTGTGCTGGAGCGGGTAATCCATCACAGCTTTCTTGAGTATAAAAAGACAAGCGGGACTGAGAATTTACAAACCAATTTGGTGCTCCGGAAAATTACAATGCGTCATCTGCAATCATCAATATTTTTACTAGTTTTATTAACTATATCAGTCAATGCCCAGGATTTGTACAGGTAAGCTTTTTTTTTTCTTCAACTTGGTCGAGGTTGAATATCAAAAAGACATCGTTCTCAATATATCATTTACAGGCGGAGCAATGATACTATTGTTCGTCGTCAGGTTACCACGGACGCTGTCGCACTCGCTCCGGTCATTAGCACATGCACCAAACCAGGCTCATTTGCTATCACGTTCGATGATGGTCCCACAGAGGTAAATCACATTGACGTGACATTTACGTTTGTTTATTTATTGTTTAAAAAAAAACCAACTTTGTTTGCATTTACCCGTTTGCTTGTTTCTTTCCCAGACTACCGATATCCTATTAAATTACCTAAAGGCCAACAATTATGAAGCGACGTTCTTTGTCAATGGCTTAAACTATCGCTGCATATACGATCAGGCAGACGTTATCAAACGCATCGTCAATGTACGTTTTATATCACTTTCTTGTTCTTGTTCTTTCGGTACTAGGCGATCCGTTATATATAAAATGGAAAACCAACCGATGCGACCAGAGCAAACTGACAAATATAATCTTTTTTTTTTATAGGAAGGACATCAACTCTGCTCTCATACTTGGTCTCATGCCGACCTTGTCAAGTTGTCTGATGACCAAATTCGCCTTGAAATGACCAAACTCGAAGATGCGTTTCGTAAAATTGTCGGCAAAGTACCGCGCTACATGCGACCACCCTATGGTAGTTATGACACGCGCGTACGTGGTATACTTGCATCGCTTGGATATGAAATGATTACTTGGGATATTGATAGCGGGGATGCGATTGGATACACGATCAATAAATCAAAAGCGGTCTATAGAACTAGCATTAGAAAGGAACCATTTCCTACTCCACATTTGGCTTTAAACCATGACGTCGAACCAAGTACGAGCACTGTTCTTGCGCCTTTTGCGTATAAATATGTAATACGGAAGGGATATTCGCCTCAGACTGTTGGGAGCTGTCTCGAAGATGGAAATTGGTATAAAGAAGAAGTCGAACCCAGTCCTAGAGACAGTAGCTGGGTATGTTAGACGGACGGTAATATAATAATAATTTAATGCGAATATGACAATCGACAATAAATTTGGGGCCTGATAAATTATTGTAAAGCGAATAGGGGTCAGAGAATTTATCGGTCGGTATAATGACACATTTAGAGAATATTTCTAATTTGCATGTGACGGAACAGCCACATTTTTAATAGTTGCTCGTGCCCCAAATCATCGTAACGTTAGCAAAGCAGTGGATAATAAGATACATGGCCACAAATTGTGAACAGTACCTTTTCGTACAAAAAAGGTTACCCACGCAGGCACAAATATCATAAATCGGGAAGCACAAGATTAACCTGATTCGAGTCTGGAAATAAAATACATGTGAACAATTACAATTAAATATTATAAATATGATATACATAACACATACCTTGGGTCAGTTTTCTTGTAGCCATAAAATCGACTAAACGTAAAAATAACAAATTAATAACGTTGATATTTACATCTCGTGCATGTACATAGATATTACATTACATTCTTGCTTACTTGTGGTCGACTTGCTATGCCTCAATTCGGCCAAGTTTATCGTGGGCAACCGTTTACTAGAATACTTGTTTTCCTTTTCGATTCTTGACACTGGCTTTGAATTCGCGTTGTAATAAATACTATTCCAAACATTATTACTAGACTTGTCTCTGTCCGCTTCTCTACTACAATCCTTGAGTAACTTGTAAACTTCTTGAATACTTGGACGTTGGTCGGGATTGCCGTCACAACATCTTTCGGCAAGTTTTCTATAGACGTCGGGCGTGGATTCCGGCATTTCTGGCCGTAGTCCATTAAGAATGTGCAGCGCCAGACACTTGTCGGATGCCCGATCTCTGAAAGGAGGATCACCGCTGGCGATTTGATACATGATAATACCGAAAGCATAGATATCTGATGCCTGGGTGTATTTGCGAGTGTAGAAAATTTCTGGTGCCATGTATGGTAAAACACCGCTGAGAACCGTTGATTTTGACACTGTGTTTGTTGGCTGGGAAAGCCCTAGATCGCATATGTACGATCTGGTGTAATCTGCTCCCGCTTTCTGCTCGGCATTCACGACTATGTTTCCACCGTGGAGATCACAGTGTACTAGTCCTGCATTATGAATCGCAATCAGGTTAAAACTAATGTTGAGCAGTTGTTCTATTTTCTGTCGCCACGTCAAATTGTTGACGTTGTGATGCAAATAAGACAAAAGGTTGCCTTTGTCTGCATGCTGCATTACAACAATATACTCGTCGGTATCAGGTCGTTGCGATATCCCATAAAAGTTGAGGAAAAATCCAACCGGTGAACATGTAATATGGTTTTTAACCTATTCGGAAATAGACGAAATAATTCTTTAAATGTCCATATAATGACGATGGAAATTGTTATTAAAAATAATTTACCTCGGAAATAAACGAATCCAATGTCTGGCTAAAATTTTTCAAACATTTTAGAACAACGCGCTTATGCTTTGATTGAGACTTGGAATTCATCCACGTAGCAGAATACACCGTCCCATAAGCACCGGATCCGATTTCCTGCAAGTTATCGAGATGCTCAAATGGTATCCAATTCAATTTGTAATCGGGCCGCTCTATTTTTATCGCTTTCATTATTTGGTCGAGTACTGAACGTATAGTGGTGTAGAATATCAAAAAATAATCGCCAGTGGATGGTTTTTGCGTGATGCCGATAATCCAAAAATTGTCTGGAGACAATATTTTTGGATACTCTTTGAGAAGCTATTATTATATGTAGTAAATGACGAATGTTATTTTAAAATTTTATTGATATATCGACAAATTAAAAAAAATTCGTTACCTGATTAAAGTCAAAAGATTGAGCTTCATCTCCACTGACAATCATCCTTAGCATTACTTTTACCACCTCCTCTTTATCATTGCTTGTCGTCACGCCTTGCAAGTCTGCGGTATGCGTACATCCGCGTTCTAAAGAGGGAGTTTCTTGAATGTTTGCCAATTGCGAAAATTCTATCCATTGCAGATAACTGTCGTGCTTGTGTACTCTAGACTGCCACGATTTCATGATAAACGAGTCTAGAGATTTGTTGCCGGTAGTCCAGTCAAGAGGTATTGGCGCTTTGCAGTCCAAACAAAATTTATCTACATTGGGATGCAAATAATCTACACACGCCAGGCATAGCTTATCACTAAATGCATTTTCTTTATACGATTTTCGCAATTTAACTATGGCGTATTTGCGCCATTCTGTATGATAAGTAAACCCGATAATAGACCAAACACTTCTGTCAAGTATTTCAGGGTAATCTTTGCTTAGCTAATTAAAATAAAACGAGCATTAGATAGTTCAAAGTATAAATGCTATTATCCCAAAGACATGAATATACTTACACGCTGATAGTATGAATCATCCGCCTCATGTAACCCTTCTAGAGAAATCAGTTCTACTTTTTTATAGACAGGTATACTATTTAAAAATGCGTACGAACGTTTCTGGAGATTGCTCTTGTCGATCGATGAACAATTCTCGTTAAAATAATTTTCACCATCCGATGAACGAATTCGAAGCAGCTCGAATGGAATCCACTCTAAATACGCTTCGTTTGCCGTCTTGCTTTCTTTTTGAGAATTTTTAATAAATTCGTCGAGTTTCTTATCGGCACTTGTCCATCCATTCGATAACTGTTTGTGACCGCAAATACACCAGACAGGACTGCATCTAAGCTTTCCACATGCAGAGCAAAATCCATACAACGAATAATACTGGTAAAACTGTCTTTTGGCAACCAAAAAATACTTGTCGTCATCTCTAGTAAACCCAATTATCGAGTTGTTGCGCTTAACGAGTAGTGTCGAATATCTCTTGAAACCGTCAGTATTAGCATGCACATGTGCCGGGATCGAGTAGATATTTGCGATAAATTCTTGCACATGGTTGTCATTGTTTTCGAACGATAACAGCATTATCATTTCGGGTTTATGATCTGGACGGTTGTATGTGGCATAATACACGGTTTGATCGATTAGGGCTGGTTCGATATCGATGTCAGTAATGTCAGTGATTTTCGAATAAGAAATCCATTTGAGATGCCAACGCTCAGCTATTGGCTCTCCATTGTCGTAAGTTTTGGAAGATTCGATTAAATAGTCGATTGCAGCACATCCTGAAATGCCAACATCTTCATTGACCTCTTTAATATCTAAAGTTGACGACGACATTTGAGCACGCTAAATGCAGTTGAATTGTGAAATTTGTCTACATACATAAATTGCTGCCTTGGAGAGACTTTTTAATACAATTTAATTGTACATCGTTACTATACATCGCGTAATTTGTCTGCGATATGCAAACGGGAATTTGTGAAACAGAAAATAAACCAATTCGAGTTGATGACATAATTATATCTGCATATCAATGTTAATTGACAATTTGTTACACTATAAAAAAATTATATAAGTATTACATGTATAAAAAACCATATTTTGAATACGCAAACAGTCACCTGATGAGATTGGAAAATATGCCTGTTGAAATTACAGGTGATACAAACTCGGTTATTAATGTGCAGCATGTTTTTGACTGCGAAACCCCGGAAAATTTTATATCGCACCAAGTCACCATGCAGTTTTCGTGAAATTCAATTGGCGGGGATTAATGTTGAGTTGGATGCGTGAACTACCGCAGCAACGAGTTCGTATATAAGACGAATAGACGCGTGCTTAGGTAGATAAAGGGGAGTGTTACAAAGTTGACTAACGTAATGTGTCATTAACAAAGTATCTTTAGAACCATCCATTATTTGTAGTAGAATAACAGCATAAAAGTGGACAATTTATTTGTTTCAAATTTAAGACATTTTTTACATAGATCTCGTTCTTAATTTATTATCATGTACCGCATCACAACTAATTACGTTATAACTTATCAAGTTGGCTTGTGAAACAGTTTAGTAAACCAGGAACTCTAAAAGTTTATCGAATCGTTCAGATCAGGTTATAGTTTTTATTAAACATTAACTGTTACAAAAATTGTATGCGGACGTTCTTTGGGTAAATCGGCACCCGAACAGAGTGTAACCATGTATACGCAAAGACGGGACTTGTGTATATTATGTCAAAAGCAATAAAGTATAATGCTTTGTCGCTTTAACACATTTTAAAAGACCAACCGCTATTCTTTACTTTATTAATCGATTTTTTGATTTTTATTAGGTTTTGTCGTATATAAATTCGGCCCAGTAAATTAATGTAACGTTAAATTAGTTTATATCTACAATCAATTCCATGTAATTGTTCTTTATGCAATAGTTTAAAAAAAGTGTATAAATTAAAATGCTCCAAATGTCCACAAACCACCATATTCCTGAATATCTAAATAATCAAGTCTATTCAAATTTATCACCATGATCTTGCAACTTTTTCAAGAAATCCCGAATCGTATTCATTTCCTCACCATGAATCACCTGCGTAAGAGCGTTTTTCAGCATTTGAACGCCCCTCTCGTAACTCTCCTTATCTCCCAACTTTGCACCGTAATCAG